TTGGGCGCCCAGCCGACGCCCAACTTCGCTGGATCCCTTCATTCCGGTGTCCGTCCCCCGGAGCCCACGAGGTCTGTCGCCTGCGGCGTGCGCTCTGCCTGGAGCCCCCTTGCCTACACCTGCCGGGAGTGGGAGGACTGCAAGGGGCGGAGGCCAAATCTTTCTTCTGGGGAAACAGGACCACCAGGGAGGGGCTCAGGGACCCCGAGGCAAAAGAGGTGAAGGGCCGGCCGAGTAGAGAGTGGGGGGGAGCAGTGAGGTGGGGGGTGTCCATCGCCCCGCGTGCTGGAGCCTGTCCCCCAGTTTCTACCTGCAGGTGTTTCCTGGCCGCCAGTGACATGGGCAGTTTCATGGACGACCGCCCACCCGTAGACCCTGCTGGACCGCAACGCCTCCCCCTTACGCGCCCAAACAAAGAAATAAAATGCTGTGTGACGTTTTGGAACGAGTTCGGTTCCTAATGGTTCCGTGGTTAACTGTGGAACTTGAGGTTTGGAAGGGGCATCGGGGGTGGTTCAGTGATGCCAGATTTTAACTCTGAATGTAGCAAAGACTGAAAGAGACTCACCCTGTATTTCCCTGTAGTAATTCATCTTCATAACATGACTTGCTGTCCAAAAACTAAGCCGGCTGATGCGTTGTGGCAGCAGTTGAAGGTTGCACAGCATGCAGCGTCACCTAATTATACATCAGGCAGAAGAACAAAAAGTGAACCTCAAGATAAAAAGAACTTAACATTAAATCTAAAAAGAGAAAGCACAGGAGGTGTGATAAAATCTGATGTTAATTATTAGGCAGGCACAAGGGAAGTGGGCATACATGAAAGATAGTTTGCAACACAATTATTAGAGTCATTTCTTTCTAGGTTAAAGAGTCATGTATCTCAGTCATGGAAGGCATGCCCTTACATTAAAAGATCATTAAACGTGATGCTTACAGAAATTGAGCCGCTTTAACTTTATGACTGTTCACAAATTCTTACTTCCCAAGAACTCTTTGATCTGTTTAGAGCGGAATCTAGCTCATGAAAGGGTTTTTTATTTGTTTTGTTTTGTTTTTTTAGTGGTTACTTAAAGGAAAAGAATTCAGTACACTGTGAATTCTGTTACGTGAAGGCTTGGATTAATTTCCCATGGCTGCTGTAACAAGTACCTTTAACTGGCTTTGAGATAACAGAACTCTATTCTCTCACAGCCTTGAAAGCCAGAAGCCCACAATCAAGGTTTGGGCCAAGCTGCACTTCCTCTGGAGACTCTGGGCAGAGAATCCCTTCTTGCCCCTTCCAGCTTCTGGTGGTGGCTTTACTTAGCTTTCTTGGCTTATGGCCACATCCCTCCAATCTCTGCCTCTGTCTTCATATTGCCTCCTCTTCTCTCTGTGTCTTCTCATTTTCTGTGTGCCCCCTAATGGCATTTGTCATTGGATTTAGGGCCCACCCAGATAAGCCAGAATTACCTCATTTTAAGATCCTTGATTAATCTGCAAATATCCTTTTTTTTCAAATTCATTGAATATTGTTCCCCAAATAGTTTTGTCTACCTGGAATCTCAGAAGGCAACCTTATTGGAAAGTGAGTCTTGCAGATGTAATTAGTTAAGATGAAGTCATACTGGATTAAGACGGGTCCTAATTCAATGATTCGTTTCCTTGTAAGAAGGTCATGCACATGAAGACTCACAAGAGACAGAAGAGGAGAAAGTCATGTGAAGCTGGAAGCAGAGATTGCAGCGATGTGTCTACAAGCCAACGATTCACCTTGGAAACAACCGCCAGAAGCTGGGAGAGAGGCATGGAACGATTTTCCCTCCGGGCCTTCAAAAGGAGTCCACCCTGCGGACACCTGGATTTCAGAACGTTGGCCTCCTGAAGTGTGGGATAATAAATGTTGTTTTAAGCCATCCAGCTTGTGGTACTTTGTAAAGGCCACCCTAGGAAACTTACACAGTGTCATTCACAGACTTCTCCATTGCTCTCTTTAATTCTATCACTTCTTTCTCGCTCATCTCCTCCTCCCCCCCCCCCCCCCCCCCCCCCGTCATTTTTTCTGTGCCTGGCCTCTTCACCTCAGTTTTTCTTTTTGTTACCCATGCCCTTAAAATCATGCCAACCAGATGGTATAAAGCATGCTTCTCTAAAAGATATGATACACATTCTTTAATAAATATTGTATTTGTTTATTGAACAAATAATGAATGTGCCTCCACTGTGTGCCAGGCAGGTGTGGCTCAGTGCTGCTCATTCAGTTGTGGGCCAAAAAAGACACAAAACCTTGCCCTCAGGAGCTTATAGTCTTGAAGAGGAGACAGATAGAAACAGATATAGAATTACAAATTGAGATAGAAAAAGAACAGGATGTTACAGATCATCTAGATGGGGAGGGCCTCCCTGAGATCTAAAGGATGCCAAGCAGGTGGGAGAAAGTTATTGCTCAGCAAAGAAGAGCTTGACACCATGGACTTCAAAGACCAGGGTAGCTAGACTAGTTAGTGAAGGGACAGGGATGTGGGAAGGGTGGAGAGCTAGGCAGGGTATAGATCATGTGTGACTTCTCTTGTGGTAAACGACTTGGAGTTCACTAAATACTATAGGAAGCCACAGACGGATGTTAAACCAGCTAGTGATGGCATGTCTCATTTTTCTGGAGAGATTATTTTAGAAGCAGAGGGACAAAGAGTCCAGGCAGGAGTACTAAGTCAATGGAGCAGAAAAAGGCAATTCGTATAAGAACTGTTAAACAGGAAGAATTAAAAAAAAAAATGATGGTCATCTTTAGAGCAATGGTGAACCAGTCTGAAATGA